GGAAGGCATCCACAAATTCAGCGATATCACTTGGAGGTGAGGCGAACTTGGTCGGCGTCGATGGAGTTCCCTGTTCCGTCGGAGTTCTCGGCACAGCACCTGGAGTGCTCGACACCCTAGCTGTAGTGCTCGTCACTACTCCTGGACAGCTCGTCACCACTCCTGGAGTGGTCTACACCCCTCCCAGAGTGCTCGGCACCCGTCTTGTAGTGGTCGGCACCACTGCAAGACCCCTTGGCTCCGCTATGGGAGTGTACGGCACCCGCCCCGGAGTGGTCGCCACCACTGCAGGACCTCCCGGCTCCACTCCTATAGTGCTCGGCACCCCTTTCGGAGTGCTCGGCACCTCCCTAGGAGTGCTCAGCTCTATCGCTGGAGTGTTTGACACCCTTCTTGAAGTGCTCAGCACCTCTTCCCCAGCATCTCCACCGCCGTGGATGACCAAGTGCTCAACGACAAAGGTGCTGGTGAAGCCACCAGCTTCCCCCGAGCTTGGACTATTCTAGTCCCAAGCTGCCTTCTCATCAAACACAACATCGCGCGAGACAAGCACCTTGTCTCCGCGTGGGTCGTAGAGCCAGTGCACCTAGGTACCCTCCATGTAGCCTAGGAACACCATCGGTGTGCTCTTGTCCTCCAATTTGGTTAGGACTGGCTTCGTCTTCCTAACGTGGCCGATGCAGCCGAATGTCTGGAGGAAGGACACACTCGGCTTGCGTCCATGCCAATCCTCAAACGACGTCCCTTTAGGGCCTTGGTGGGAGCGCGGTTGAGGATGAACACTGCCATGGTCACCGCCTCACCCCAGAACCATGTCGGCATGCCTTTAGCCTTCATCATGGATCGAGCCATGCCAACCATCGTCTGGTTCCGTCGCTCCACCATGCCATTTGCTGTGGCGAGTATGGTGCGGTGTGGTGTCGCACCACACCCTGATCCACGTAGTACATAGCAAACTCCACCGAAGTGAATTCGCCACCATGATCAGTCCTCAGCACGCGGAGCTGCTTGCCGCTCTCGGCCTCCACGCGCATCTTGAACTTCTTGATCACTGCCGCCGCTTCGTCCTTGCTCATCAGGAGTTGTAGCCACATGTAGCGGCTATAATCATCTATGAGCAGAAGGGAGTACCATCGACCACCATTTGTGGCTAGCGTGATTGGCCCGTAGAGGTCACCGTGGATGAGCTCAAGAGAGACCGCCGCACGATACTTGGCCACCTTTGGGAATGGCAGCCTCCTCTGCTTCCTGGCCAGGTAGCTGTCACACAGCTCGCCTTCGTGCTTGATGTGGGGCAGCCCTCGGACCATCTTCTCCAGCTGACCAAGCGCGTCGAAGCTGAGATGGCTGAACCGAGCATGCCATAGCCATGGCTCCTCGGTGTGCCTTGCCACCAGGCACACCGGCTGCTCCACCTTCAAGTCGGGCAGGTACAATCGGTTCTAGGACCTCTTCACCATGGTGAGAAGTCGCTGCTCCCGATCCCTGATCCTAAGGACTCTATCCTTGATCAGTACCTTGCTACCGCGCTCATCCAGCTAGCCAATGCTGATGATGCTTGAATGCAGCTACGGGATATAATATACATCCATTAGCGTGCGATGCTCACCGTTCTGGCACCTGAAGATGATGGTGCCGCACCCTTGGATTGCCACCCTTGAGCCATCATCAAACTTCACCGTGCCGGTCACATCGTCATCGAGCTCGGAGAAGGCTGCCTTGGAGCCCGTCATGTGGTTGTTGGCGCCAGAGTCCAGATACACGTCCGAGGTGGACTTGGGCGCGTGGTTCATCGAGGTTGACAGCTTTTAGGGCCTTCCCAGGTCCTTCCACCGTCATCACCTCACCCTTCTCCTCGGCCTCGATGTCGTGCAGTGCACAGAATATCGCCATCAGGATAGCGGCCTCATCATCATCATCAACTTGCGCCAGATGAGCCTTAGCCTTCTTCTCCTACTTGCGATTTGGGCACTCCTGTGCCCAATAGCCCATCTTCTCATAGTGCCGGCAGGCGTTGGGGTCAACCTGCTTCTTCTTCTTCGAAGAAGCATTGCCACAGTGCTTGCCATCGCCACCGCGGCTGGAGGAGGCTATGCCGGAGTTTCTCCGAGCAGCCCACTCCTCTATCAGCAGTAGTTTACCGCTGTCCTTCGTTGCTATCGCCTCCTCTAGGCGCTCATCCATCACCCGCAGATAGCCTGTCACATCCTCAATGGTGAGGGTGGACAAGTCCAGCATTGTCTCTATAGAGAGAGCGATCTGGATGTACTTTGCTAGCATGGAGTGAAGGTACTTGGAGACCGCCTGCTCTTCGTTGATGGTGACACCATGGATCTTCAGCTTGCTAATGAGCGTCTGCAGGTGGAGGGAGAAATCCTCCACCGATTCACCATCCTTGAACTTAAGGTTGGCGTACTCCTGCTTCAGAAGCTGGGCCGTCGCTTTCTTTGCGCGGTCGGAACCGACATGCATCGCTGCAATAGCCTCCCACGCCTCCTTAGTAGAGCTTTTCACCTACAACGGCTCCCTATACTCCACTGGTACAGCAGCGAGGATAGCCTCCAACGCTGACATGTCATCTTCCTTATTATCGGTGCCCTTGTCAATAGCATTCTAGAGCCGTCGGGCTCTGAGCTTGACCTTCATGGTCACCGACCACTCTCTATAGTTGGTGCGAGTCAGCGTCGGGCAACTAGTGCCGCTGACCTCCCGCACCATGCGAACAACGACCTCCTATCGTGGCTGGGTAGCCACAGCAGTGCCACTGCTGTTGCCCATTTCCAAACTATCCGTCATCGCCAGCGGTTAGTCCGACAACGACGCTTGTATGGCTCCGATACCACTTGTTGGCTCACAGGATCACCGGCTCAAGTGAGTCGGCCACTCACCAGTCTTGCCGACCACGACAAATGTTGTCCGACCACACACTATGGCTAGAGGTAGAAGAAGTGAGGGAGAACAGAGCATACACACAACAGAGACACTAGCGTTGGCCGAAGCTCTATATAGGAGATGGTAAATCTAAACTCTCTGTTTACTGAGTTGTAGTGGCAAACTATTTATACAACTCTATCCATCTAGTCCTAGTACAGCTACCATGCTGCTACAGTGACTAGATGTGACAGCAGGGCTGACTCTGGCTCCTGCTGTGGCTACAATGAGGCAGGTGAGCCATTCGGCGCCTACCTCTGTAGTGGCTACAGTACCACAGCAGGGACCCTTTTCGGTGCCACCTTCCCCTACCATGTGTTCACACAAGGAAGCAGTAGATTATCTAACACTGGTGCCTGTTTCAGACCATACAGGGCTTTCTTCAGTTTCAACACCTTCCCTGGATGCCTTGGATTCATGAAACCTAGAGGTTGGTGCACATATACTTCTTCCTATAATTACCATTCAAGAAAGCAGATTTTACATCCATGCGATGCACCTCCCACTTTCCATGAGTAGCTAGAGCTAGCATCAACCTGACAGTTTCTAGCCTAGCAACAGGAGCAAATACTTCTTCATAATCCACCCCCTGCCTCTGAGTATAACCTTTTGCAACAAGCCTAGCCTTGTGCTTGACAATGTTACTCCCTGGATCCCTCTTCACTTTATACCCACTTCAAACCTATTGCTTTTTGACCTTTTGGAAGATCTGCATAACACCATGTATTATTTTCCTGAATTGACTGCAGCTCACTCTTCATTGCTTCCATCCAGCACTCTTCTTCCAATGCTTCATCCACTCCAATTGGTTCATCAGCTGCCAGCATACACACACCACTAAACTCACGGTCCAGAATCTCATCAGTGGAATCAAACAAGTTTTTTTCGAAAGCGTGCATTTGCACGTGCTTCATTAAGGGAAGTGAGAAAAGTTTCAACGCCCGTGGTCTGTGACGGTGAGATGCTGAAGCAAGCCAACAGAACGAACACAAACAGAGATCACTGGCTTGAACGGTGGTGCTAATCGCTAAACGGATGTAGTAAGAGATAAACAAATTGCGCGACAGGTAAGGAATCAAACAAGTCATTCAAAGTTCTGAATCTTAGTGGTCCACCATATGTGTCTTCAGAGTTATGACTTGGTGGAGTTGCCCACACCACAGCTGGTGCTTGGCTAGAGCTTGGAGTGTTAGAGGGGCCAGGTGTTACTTCATTAGGACCCATAACACCCCCTTGATCATTAGAGTCTTCCCCCTCTTCTTCTACTACAGGATTTTTTGCTGTTTGGTCTATTGTCGGTTCTGCTACAGTACTCTAAAAATGCACAGCAAAGGTTTCAGTCTCTTCCACTGGACTGACAGAGCTGCTAGCTGCATTGGTCCAATCCCAGGCTTGATTTTCTTCAAAAATAATATCTCTGCTGATCACAAGACGACCAACAGATGGATCATACAGCTCGTGTTCTTTTGTGCCTGATTCATAGCCTATGAAAACCATCTTGGATGATCTGTCTGACAGCTTGTTCAGGCCTGGACCAACATGCTTCACATGTGCTACACAGCCAAATGTCCTAAGATGACTGACCTTGGGTTTCCTTTTATGCCAAGCTTCAAATGGGGTCATGTTGTTCAAACTTTTAGTAGGTGACCTATTCAGAACATACACTGCAGTCAAAACTACCTCACCCCAAAATTTTGCAGGGACCCTCATTGCCTTCAACATGCACCTAGCCATCTCCACCACTGTCTGATTTTGACGCTCTACTACTCCATTTTGCTGGGGAGAATAGGGAGTAGTAGTATAGTGCTTGATCCCTTGCTCATCACAAAAACTTGAGATCAGATTGGATGTGAACTCTCCCCCCTATCTGTTCTCAGGGCTTTCAACTTATTGTCAGACTCTACTTCAGCTCTCTTCATTATTTTTTTGAAAAAATCTAGAGCCTGGTCTTTTGATTTTAGCATCTCCACCCACATGTATCTGCTACAGTCATCAACCACTAGCAAAAAATATGAGCAACCCCCTAGAATTTTTGGAGTAATATGACCACACAAGTCTGCATGTACTAGCTATAAACCCTTATTTGCCCTATAATTTGAAGCTTGAGGAAAAGGAACTCTATGTTGTTCACCAAGAACACAGCCATCACATACTTGTTCTACTCTGTTCACTATTGGCATACCCTCTACCATGCCCTTGCAGCTAAGATTCCTCAAAGCTGTAAATTTCATGTGGCCAAATCTTGCATGCCAACGCCATGCTTCATCATCAGACTTTGCTAATAGGCATACTAGTGAAACTAAACCAAACTTGACAGTATACAACCTATTAGCAGTTCTAGGAGAAGAAATCAACGGAGCATGTTCTTGATCAAACACACATAGCTTGCCATCTTCCAGAGTGACCTTAAACCCCTTCTCTTCTAACTGACCCAAACTCACAATATTGCTTTTTAGTTTACGGATGTAGTAGACGTCAGTTAGTACCTTGTGTTGCTGTTGGTGACCTTGCATCACCACCGATCCAACACCATGGATCTCAATGCGCGAGCCATCGCCAGAGCGCACAGTCCCGTGCACTCCTTCATCCAGTTGAGTCAGCGCCATGCGTGTCCCCATCATGTGATTGCTGGCGCCGGTGTCCAGCACCCACTGTTGTAGAACCGTTTAATCTAATGCCTCCTAGGAGTACTTGTCTTCCATTAGACACCAAGTAATCAAGGGAGGAAACTAAATTACGCGGTTTCGTCGAGCACACCCCAAGGGAGAACCCAAAAATCCACATTTTTCCATCAGGATCATAAATGAGAGAATAAAGCTTACAACATTCTTAGCCATCTCTTACATCACTTTACATGCAACATCAGAGTATAATATTTATTGTTTATAACAGTGGAATATGACCATGTTATCAGAGTTTCAGCGGAAATAAAATCATTTACTAACAAGCTAAACATTAAAATGATGGTCCATTATATACATCGTAACAAGTTATAAGTTTTTCTGTTGTAAAACATGTTGGGTGGAAGTTTAAAAAAACTCTATGTCCGTAACGTAAAGGAAATCCTCGCTGAGCCCACCAGAAGGTTTCCACACACAAGTGTCAGCTCCACATGTTCTTGTCACCTGCAACAGGGTAGAACAAACCTTGAGTACTCAATTGTACTCCACAGGACTTACCCATCAGGAGGAAAGAAAAGACTCCAAGGATATGCAAGGCTATCTGGCTTATGGGTTATTGCATCTGCAGGAAGTATTACTAAGCGTGCGTCCTTATATTCAATTTCATTAGCAGTCATCATTAGTTCATTAGCTAACCATTCTATGTAAGCACCTGTGCTACTTTCAAATGGGTGGTAAGCAATCAGAACCAGTTTTACCATCTTTCATAATTTAGTTCTTTCTACAGTGCTAGATTGTAGACAAGTCGTACCGCATTTCGTGCCAATTCACGAATCAAAGTAGCCCAGCTAGGTACCCCGAAACACACTCCCCGCTTGTACCCCAGGCACAAGTAGGACTAACCCACCACTCTCCTATCAAGGGGTCTAGGTCCCTATCCAAACTTGGACTCCAAGCCCCCACACCTGAGTCCTAGACTTAGTGTGGTTCTTAGACCTCCACCATTCCCGCCTCCAATCAGTCGGTCTGGAAAGAGCCGAAACCCACGACAAGAGAGCAACGAGCCTTCCCTGCTCCCATAAACAAGTATGTGCTCAGGATAATAAGCCTATGACCTTACTAGAATCCAATGTAATGGCCGGTCCTTAACCGACACAGGCAGAACAAGTGCAATCCGAGCATCGCTCGAATGCCTAACCAAGTCCAGATCCAAAATACCATTCCGCTCGGTCTCCAATTATCATTTATATATATTCCATGGGATAGTAATATAATAACAACAATAATATCTTGTAGCATAGCAATCTACACGATCCTGTCATACTAGTAAGACTCATAGGATAGGATATATATATATGAAAGTGGGTTTCATTCAACTCCTTAAACTTAATGCACAAGCATAAAATAAAGTGCAGTATAATAGGGGTTATGCATCGGGGCTTGCCTGTGTAAGATATAACCAAAATTTAGCATTCCATCATGGTGACACAATCATCAGGCACCATCTTTTCTGCTACTTCGGTCATCTTCACGATCCATAGTTCTTCCTATTATGATATACGTGGATGCAACGTAGAGACACAATTAATCAATGGTAACTACAACTCTATAATATGATTACGCTCTGCGAGCTAATGAGCTACCTTAATGACTAATGTACTAGTCTATGTATCCACGTCGCCAAGTAAGGCTTGTTCCGGAAAATGTTTTCGTTCTACAAACCCCCAATTATTTTTCACATTTGACTGATTAAATATATATTTTTATACTAGAGCTCATTTAGATACCTTAACAAACTAATTCCTATGGAGCTAAAAAATCATAGTGGGCAACTAATATTGTTAGGAATTTACTGTAAAAATTTTAGGGCCAGTACAACTACCAATTTATCACAATAATTCCTATAAGTTCATGTTTTATCCATTTTAAGTGCTTCAAATTAATTAGTCTACTTGTGAAAATTCTATGAAACTATGTGAATAAAATACACTATAAGATAGATCATGATTTTAGGAACCTAACTAAATAAGTTTCACAATTTTTGGTTAGCTACACAAATTGGTATTGAATTTACAAGTTTGGCTTAGAAACTAAATTAGCAAATACTTGGAAAAAGAAAAGGGCCAACCTTAACCCATCTGGCCTGCCGGTCTAGCACGGGGCGCGGGCGTGGGTGTGCCGCGGCGGCCCAATACGGCCCAAGGCGGGGGAAGCCCGCGCGCACGGCACTTTGCAAAAGAGGACTCGGTTTTTAGGATAATCAGGCAGAGCAACAGAGCACTATTACTGTAGACTCACATTATGTATTAAAGTCCCTGGAATGTATTGCCTTCGCAATGGGGCGGTCCTCGGCGCTCCCGTGCGTGGCAGCGTGGCACACCGGCGGCGATAGCGGTTACGTCGGACGCGCTAGACCTATTGCGATGGCACTAACGGATCGACCACCATCTACGACTAAACCCGCAGCGATGGGCGGCGGTTGGGCACTCAGCGACGCCCTGTCATGGTCTGTCACGGTGAGCGGCGATCCGCATCGGCGGCGAGCTTCTTCCAATGAAACTACATGTGTTTAGCGGAGTACAAAAGGTGGATGAGTATCAGTGGCTCACCATGGTGTCCGCTGCTCTGGAGAATGAAGCAGGGAAACACGGTGGTAGTCTGGACATGTGCGACCGAGCGGGACAGCGGTGCTCCGTCGTAGACACAAGCGCGTCACCACGCCATCGACTAATGCTTTGGCCATAATAACACGAGCACCGAATAGGGGAAGTCAAACCGAGTTAGGGATCGCAAGCAATTGAACCCTCGGGCCTTACCTACCTCTTATCGGCTACGGCGGTGTTCATGGCCCCCAGTGAGCGAAGCACCAAATTGCCAGCCGGTAGGGCTTGCCAGCGTCAGGGAGGGGGTTGGATTGCTAGCTGGTTGCTATATCTATCTGCTGGAGTGCTGAAGCGGAGGGCGGCTACGGACGGCGTGAAATCACGAAAACGGTGTGGCTCCAATGGTGACAAGGCAGGCGACGATGGCTACACGTGGCTCGGCCAGCTCGGCCGAGGCCGTGATAAATATGTGAGGACGTGCATGCGGCGTGACTTGGAGGGAGCAGTCGTGAGGTACCAGGATGGGACGGCTCATCCAGGTGGACTCGGTTGGCGGCAGCGAAACAGAGGCCACGCGCTAAGCTACCGCGTGGAGCCAAGGCACAACGCGACGCAAGAGAGGGCAGTGACATCACGACCATGTCGTAAGTGTGACGTGACTATGGAAGCAGGCAACATCTCGGTGCATAGGTGGTTTGAGCAGTGGAACGAGTGCCACTTCGGCTAGACGACGGCTGCCACAGCGTCGGCTTGGCCCGCTCATGGCCTCGCCGGCAGTGACCCTAGCCCGGTCCCATGGAGACGAGCGCAGCCCACCCCGGCCCGATGTGCGGCCAGCTGCCAGTAAAGTTGGCCAGCGAAGCAGCAGCCATGGCCAGGAGCGACCGGGCAGCCACAACGCCATGCTCATGTGGTGACCGTGACCACGGAAGCCCAACGGCCAAAATGGTAACACGCACGAAATTTAAAGCTCAACCAAAATGATTAATTACCCCACCTAAGGCTCAACCGCTCACCCCATCCATAGGTCACGCTACCCAGTTCCTAGCGAAACCATGGTTATGATCAACGAGCCGCTGAGGAGGAAGATCAACGAGTGTCAAGATTAGTTCATTGCGGAAACGTCGGTTCACGAACAAAGCACCAACCACATAGTTCACAGCGCATTCTTATGAAGTTCGAACAATTTTAAAGAGAGCAACGTAACACCCAACACCACTACGACCTATACCATTCTCAAATGCTCACTTAGATGCAATCAACAATACCAAAACATGCGGCTAGTGTCTAAACGTTTCTGTTAGAAACCAAATGTCAAGATTGCATTGTCTACCACCTTTCCATACTTAGAAAATCATATATTTCTGTTTTGAACTAACATCCACTAGCGTGTTTGCCTTAATTTTTAAAAGGTCTAAACCTTGCCGGATTCAACTAACAATTGTACCATGACCTAGTCCATACTTCGTACTAACTCATAGGAGCAAGGTATTTAAGCACTATTTAACTATTTTGCTCAATATAATTCACCCAAAATGGTACTTTAAACATAAATTCAAGTGTTTGCCGATTTAACAAAAAGAGCTTATCTTAACGTCAAGTTAGATTTTAGAGCTCCCACAACACTAGTTAACAACATCTATTTTCCAAAAGTTAATGTTGCATTTCCATCTACTAAACTTGTACTTCAATTTTTATTTAAGTACTAAATACAAGTTATGTTTTATTCTTGTTTATAGAAATTGCTTTTCATGCCAAACAATTAAAACTACTTTTCCTATTTTCTTGTTAGGATTTCATTAGCGCATTTAAGTAAACTAACTCACTATATTTATAGATCTACGTCTCAGGCCATAATCTCAGTGCTTAGCGAGCTCGTAACACCAGAGGTGTTACAACCAACCCCCCTTAAAAAGAATCTCGCCCTGAGATTCAGAGCAAGAACCAAAAAGGGAACAACATGATTACACTTCGTAGATTAGAAATTACATGAAAGATTACATGGCTTCGAATACTAAACCACATGGGGATTTAGGGATACATGGTTAAGAGCAACCTAGTACAACCAAGGCTTAATCCAAAAGTCGAGATAGACGAGGACAATGGAGAAACAACAAGAAAAAGATTATCCAAAATATGGCGTATGTCCAACAGATCCAGAAACAGGAGACTGAGAAGTCCAACATAGTGAACCCTAAGACCAAGCTAACCAAAAGGGGACTTGAACTTCCTTGCTAGAAATCCGGATCCCTTCTTCTTCATGGATTACATCATCACCTCTGACTGACAACCTAGTTCTTCGGATGACGACTGGATCTCATAGCTATGCTTTGAATGAGAGGGGGGGATGGGGATGAAGAAGAAGAGCAAGGATCAAGGGCA